TGGACATTCCTAGTCTCCTGTATTTTTCTCATGGAAATACTTAGTCCTTCCTCATTTAAATGCCCCAGATAACATGGCAGTGATTCAGAGGTAAACCTTCTAAGCAGAATTAAGAGTTGCACATTGCCCAAGACAAAGACAGCAGGTTCAGGCTGATTGTGAACCAGGATGACATGAACCCAGGTCACAGGGGTGGTTCTGACAGGAATTGCCAACCTCCACTGTGCTCTGCAACTTAAAATTAATTTCAAGGTCCCACCTTGTATAGCTGGCTCCAAGACCATCCTTGGTCTGTTCATTCCTATACATGTTTATGGGATTGTTTGTCCTCGCTCACTTAGTGATTCTGGCCCAGCTGGCTTCCTGCAATATTTGCCACCCAGCTTGAGATCCTGCCCGCTCCCCACTGGTGAGCAGCACGAGAGCCAACTCAGGGCTATGGATGAAAGCCATTCTGCCTGCCCAGAATGAAAAGTTGTGCTTTTGGCCTTGTTTCCCCAAAACGTTTGCAGTTAATGTCAAGAAAATAGACTGTATTATTAGAATGCATCTGAGGAAGGCTTGGCATCTTAACTTGCCTTCCTGCTCTGAAATCTCCACCAATATCCAGTCACCCCTAATAAACATGTAGTTCATTGTAAGACGTACTAACTCCGCAAATACGCCTTCAAGACTAAGTCCCCCAATGCTGTGCCCTACACGCCTGTGGTCATTCTAACCAAACTGCTGCCTTTGAGCCCTTCCAGGAGTCCTGGAGCCTCTGGATGGGACTCCCGTGAGGCTTCCTGTGCAAACTGAGGACCCCTGAGCTTTGGTCCATCTTGGGGCACCAAAAGAAGGGAGGGGACAGGGGCTGTTTGTAGGGTATTTTTGTTTTTATTAAAAAAAAATTGTTTAAGCCCTATTACTCCTCTGAAAGTACTACTATAAAGAATCTTAGAGTTTTTGTAAACGTGTTTTGGGGATCACCTTGGCTTTTGTTATATTTAGTGCCTTGTTATTATTGGCGATTATTGTGGAACTGACTTGCAGATTTATGGGCTCTCCAGGGCTCATACTGCCCTGCATTACATTCCAGACATTTAATTGCTCTTTGACAGCCAGAGCAGAGATAGCGAAAATTAGAGGTTGTCTTTGCTTTTTGGTTTTCTAGTCCTTTTAGCCTTGTGTTTGCAGTCAACTTGTTAAAATTTTTCTACTTGTGAAAATGTGTGATAGGAAAAAGGGAAAACTTTGCCCAAATGTGGTTTGAAGGTGATGGGTGAATTTCAACAAAACATTGTTTTCAGGGTTTATTATTTGGATAAGTAATATTTATTAATAATTATAATTATATATAATCATAATATGTTTATTATTATTATTATTATTAAGATAATTCCATTGGTTTCTAACTAGATATCAGAAGTGATCTTATCCTTTAATTTCCCAATTTGTCCTTTTTTCTTTTAAAGATTTTATTGGGGAATTGGGGGAGGGGAACAGTTTTAGGGAACTGGGGAGGGGGATCAGCCAAGTTGTTGTTCTTCAGTCTTCATTGTGGAGGGTGCCAGTCGCTATCTGGCTTCCTGTCGGCAGCTTGTGGCCTCTAAGCTCAAGGTGCTGTGTTCAATTTTAGTTGTGGATGGGTGTAGCCACCATCCCACGTGGGAGTTGAACCCTGCAGCCTTGTTGTTAAGAGCATGCGCCCTATCCACTGAGCCATCTGGGTGGCAGCTCAGCTCAAAGTGCTGAGTTCAGTCTTAGTTGCCAGTGGACGTAGCACACCATTGAACAGGCAACCTTGTTGTTACACCAGCCGAGCCATCCTGTCACCTGTTGGCAGCTCAGCGACAGCTCAGCTCAGGCGCAGCGTCACTGGTCCATGTGGGAACCAGTTGGTGGCCCTGATGCCTAGAGCTTGCACTCTTAAGCCAACTCTGAACCAGCTGAGCCACTTGGCTGGCCCAATTTGTCCTGTTCTTAACGTTGTTTCTCTGTGGGACCCTTTACTCATCAGGTTTTCTTAAAAGTTTTGGAAATCTCATATGAAAATCTTATAGCTTGATCCCTAACTAGCATCTTTGTGGGCTGCAGGTGAGAGCCACTTTGGAAGAAGTAAGGAAGCGAATGTATGGAGACTATAATGAAATGAGACAGAAGATTCAACAGATCACACAGGAACTGTCAGTAAGTCAATATCTCAGTGACTTGGAGATATGGAGGGATGGTAGAGCTTAGAACTCCCTCTCAGTGGCTAGTATCTGAAAATATTTGAGTTTATGATGTTCTTTATGAATGGAATCATATTTTAAATGAACTGAGGGAATTTTATCAGAATACAGTTTATTATTTAAAGGATTTTTTATGGCAAGAATACTTTTCCTTATATTCAAAGCATTCTCTCCAAAGTCAGGAACAAGACAAAGAAGCCAGCTATCACCATTATTATTTAACATTGTGTCTGAGATACTAGCCGATGAAATTAAACATGAGAAATAAATTTAGAGGTATAATAACACTGGATAGGTAGATGTAAACTATCAGTATTTTTAAACTATGAGATTATATACCAGAAAGCGCATGAGCCAATGAAAAACACCTACTATAAACAATATAAGAATTCTGTAAGGCAGCAGGGTAAAAAATTAATAGATACAAACAAAGAGGTTTTTTTTTTTTTTTTTTTTAATTGGGGAATTANGCGACCCTGTTCCTCAGAGTTCACACTCTTGAGCAAGCTCTTAACCAACTAAGCCACTTGGCCAGCCCTCCCTCTCATCTTTAAGCATTCAATGTGATCCGTCTTTTTCCAAGTATGGGTTTATTTAAGAAGGGGTCTCCTGTCAGCCTGCGAGATTGTTAGAAATAACAAATATCTTGATAAGCCAAAGGTTTCCATTGCTCTGAGGAGCCAGGGGCTGCCCTTCCCCTGCCTGTTTCTCCAACAGGCTATAGAAAGGCCCCTCAGGCTCAGCTGTAACATTCATTTTTGTCACGAGAAGGCAAAACAATGTCAAGTGTGGGTAATGACCAGGGACCAGTAATTTGCTGCGATAGACACACAGGTTGGACAGGTCAGGGCACATTCCTGAAAGTGACGTCCTGTACCTGCAAGATGGATCAGATGCCCAGTGGCTTAGTGCTCAGCTGTCCCTGGGTCAGCTGCTGCCCTCTGGCTGGAAGAGGAGGTCCAAAAGCAAAGAGTTTTGGAAATAACTCTGCTTTCTAGCTTGCAAGTCATTTCATTCATGTTATGTATGGTTCATCTAAGTCATCTTGGCAGCCTGAACATGTGACCTGCTGCCCATCCTGGCCTCTGGGACTAAGGGCTGGCTGTGGCAGGCTACCACTCTCAGTGGATTTATGTTAAATAGTGTTTCTGCTATTCTTTATTCCCTGAGAACCCTTCTTGACCAAGTGACTTTCTTCCTTTGCACAAATCAGTTTCTGGCATGACCAAACACTCCAAATATTCTGGCATAGACCCAATCCCAAATACTCTGCTTTCTTCCTCCCTTCAAAATGACTATTTGTGGTGAGTATCGAGGATAGAGTAGTGAATATTACAGATATGGTCTCTGCCTCTATAGAGCTTATCTCATTGTAAAAATCGTTCATTCTGATTTAGGTTTTGGAATATATGGCCACCTATCACTGACCTTATTAAAGCCTTTATAGCAGGAATTTAGGCTGAGTTACTTTTCTATAGTTTCTAAGGCACTGACTGCTAAATATATCTTTAGGGAAAACAGCCACCGCATGAGACTGTAAGTAAATTTTAAGCTGGGAGTATATCCCAGGGAACATAATGGAGAGATTCTTTCTATGTTTTACTGATTATGCCCATTGTTAATTCTGCTGTGTTTTGTGTAGGGATTCTGAGATGGCCCTTCTATTGGTTTCCTTTTCCATTTTTGGCATGAAGTTTCTTTTCATTCCATGCATTTATTAGGCTTTTGTTTTCAGGGTGTTTTTGCCTTGTATTGTTTCATGC